AGTGGTGGCCTTGGCAGGGCTGGGAATGGTTGGACTGGATGAGCTGAACGGTCTTTTCCAACCTGGTTGGTTCCATGATTCTAACTGGCAGTGCCATCCCCGACCCAGCCCACCCCAGCGGCATCACAACAGTAGCAGCAGCCCTGCTTGTGTTTGTAAGGCTGCCCAGCAACATCAGCACTGGGGAGGTGATGACATGGGCGATGATGAATTGTAAATACCCAGCAAATGGCTCTTTGCAGCCTGGCCCCAAGCCCGAGACAACCCACTGGGAATGTTTCCATGGGACTGGGAGGCGCTGGATTGGGATGGGTGGGAAGGAGCTCAGCAGCGCTGCCAGGGAAGCAGTGTGGGACCAGCTCCTGGTCCCACAGACCTGTTTTGGGAGTCCCCCACGGCTAGCCCCACTGTGCAGGTAGCAGGGGAAGGGATGGAAAAGGACAGTGAACCTGGAGGAAGCTGTGGGAGGAGTTCTGCGGGGACTCCTGGTGTGCCAAAGCCTGGTGGTTTCCGAGGTGGTGCTGAGGGACATGTTTATGGCCAGTCCATCATCTTTATCCTTGCATCTCACAAAGAAATTTTGAATCATTTTTGGGGAACAAAAGTTAGACTTGAGTCATCTGTCTGTAGGAAATGATGGATGTAAAGCGACGCAATGGAGGTAACGCACAGAGTATGTACCAGACCCATAAATAGTGCCGGAGCACTGGGGAAAGTGGTGTACAGGATATAATGATGGATACAAACGGAGCCAATGGAAGTAATGTGTTGACTATACTCAGCGATAGCCATAAATAGCATTAGTGGCAGCAATGCAGAGTGCACACATAACAATGGATATAAACACGGGCCAGAGTAGCTGTACATCTAACATGCAATATTAATGTGATTTGATCCCTTGTAACAGCTTGAGCAATGAGGAAATAAACGCCATAGAGGCAGCATGACCACGAGGGGGTCACCCAGCCCTCCCAGGGCCTTTCCCAGCTGACAGCAGGCAGAGCCCCTCATCACCCACAAACCCCCTCATCACCTCACAGACCTCCTCATTACCCTGCAGACCCCCTTATTCACCCCCAGACTCTCTCATCACCCCCAGACGCCTTCAGGGGCTGGTTCCTGTGGAGCTGTCGTGGTTGCTCCCCACTTGGAGACCCGCTACTGGCTGATCCCAAGGAGGGATCCCCCAAATGCTGGATCCCGCACTCAGCTCCTCTGCCTTTGCAAAGCAGCCTTTATATTCAGGCTCCATCTACAGGGAACGGAATAATTTCAAGAGCTTAAAATAGGCTGCAGATAGATGTGTTTAGTATTAAATTATTTTTTTAAGAAGCCGAGGAAGCGAGGTCTGTCTGACACAGATTCCTCAAGGCTTTCCACTCAAAGTCTGCGCACGTTCACTCATCAAGTGGAAAGTTGGGGGGTGGGGAGGAGAGATGGTCTTGGGCTGGATTTCAGCCGGGAAATGAGAACCTCTGCTCTGCCTCGGCAGTGCCCTTCACCTTAGTGCCAGCACGACCCAGACTAAACCTTTTGCTGTGGTGGTGCCCATCGTTTGCTCACATCCCCCTTGCTCTTTCTCTCCCTCGTGTTACCTGCAGGTGAGAGATAGGATGGTAGCTGGGGAGGCGAGTATGCGCAGCCCACTCCTGGCCTGCTGGCAGCCGATTCTCCTTCTGATGCTGGGATCCATCCTGTCCGGCTCTGCCACGGGCTGCCCGCCACGCTGCGAGTGCTCTGCCCAGGAGCGCGCTGTCCTGTGCCACAGGAAGAGGTTCATGGTCGTGCCGGAGGGGATCCCCACCGAGACCAGGCTGCTGGACTTGGGCAAGAACCGCATCAAGACGCTCAACCAGGATGAATTTGCCAACTACCCTCACCTGGAGGAGCTGGAGCTAAATGAGAACATTATCAGTGCCATTGAACCTGGGGCTTTCAACAACCTCTTCAACCTCAGGACGCTGGGGCTCAGGAGTAACAGGCTCAAGCTGATCCCCTTGGGGGTGTTTACTGGACTCAGCAACCTTACCAAGCTAGACATTAGTGAGAATAAAATTGTGATCCTTCTAGACTACATGTTCCAGGACTTGTACAACCTCAAGTCTTTGGAAGTGGGGGACAACGACCTTGTCTACATCTCCCACCGGGCCTTCAGCGGCCTCAACAGCCTGGAGCAGCTGACCCTGGAGAAATGCAACCTGACCTCCATCCCCACGGAGGCCCTGTCTCACCTTCATGGCTTGATCGTGCTGCGCCTGCGCCATCTGAACATCAACACCATCCGGGATTACTCATTCAAAAGGCTGTACCGGCTCAAGGTCCTAGAGATCTCACACTGGCCCTACCTAGATACCATGACATCCAACTGCCTCTATGGGTTGAACTTGACCTCCTTGTCCATCACCCACTGCAACCTGACGTCCATCCCGTACGTGTCAGTGAGGCACTTGGTTTACCTCCGGTTCCTGAACCTATCCTACAACCCCATTGTCACCATTGAGGGCTCCATGCTCCATGACCTGCTCAGGCTGCAGGAGATCCAGCTGGTGGGAGGGCAGCTCACCATGGTCGAGCCCTTTGCCTTCCGCGGCCTCAACTACCTGCGCATCCTAAACGTGTCAGGAAATTTGCTGACCACCCTGGAGGAGTCAGCCTTCCACTCCGTGGGCAACCTGGAGACGCTCATCCTCGACAACAACCCCTTAGCCTGCGACTGCCGCTTGCTCTGGGTTTTCCGTCGGCGATGGAGGTTGAACTTCAACAAGCAGCAGCCCACTTGCTCCACCCCCGAGTTTGTCCAGGGCAAGGAGTTCAAAGACTTCCCCGATGTCCTCCTGCCCAACTACTTCACCTGCCGCCGAGCACGGATACGGGACCGCAAACCTCAGCAGATCTTTGTGGACGAAGGCCACACAGTCCACTTCGTGTGCCGGGCAGATGGGGACCCGCCCCCCACCATCATGTGGCTGTCTCCCCGCAAGCACCTCATCTCTACCAAAACCAACGGGCGGCTCACTGTCTTCCCTGACGGCACGCTGGAGGTGCGCTACGCCCAGATCCAGGACAATGGCACCTACCTATGCATCGCCAGCAACGCAGGTGGCAACGACACCATGCTGGCCCACCTGCACGTGCGCAGCTACTCCCCAGACTGGCCCCACCAGCCCAACAAGACCTTCGCGTTCATCTCCAACCAGCCCAACGAGAGCGATGCCAACAGCACGCGCGCCACCGTGCCTTTCCCCTTTGACATCAAGACTCTCATCATCGCCACCACCATGGGCTTCATTTCCTTCCTGGGCGTCGTGCTCTTCTGTCTGGTGCTCCTCTTCCTGTGGAGCCGGGGGAAAGGCAACACCAAGCACAACATTGAGATCGAGTACGTGCCACGGAAGTCCGACGCGGGCATCAGCTCTGCCGACGCGCCGCGCAAGTTCAACATGAAAATGATTTAAACCAGGCAACAATTTGCAAATAATAATGGTGGGTTGGTTGTTCTGTTTTTGGTTTGGTTTTGTTTTTTTTTTTAAAAAAGAGAACAAATGAACAAAATAAAAAATAATTTAACAACAAACATTGCTACAAACATACCGACCTCTCTCCTTCCACCACGTCCTCCGCCCCTGTCCAAACCCACTGCATCTGCACTGTCACCACCTCTTCCTCCTCCTCTTCTTCTTTATACCAGGAAAAACATTCAGCCGATGTCTTCAGGACTCCTGTGTTTGTAAGGACTTTGTCTGATGGACTCTGGTGTCAGATATAACTCTGAAAGGGAAAAACAACAGAGGGGGGGGAAAGAAAGGAAAAAAAAAAAAGAAATAAAATCAATAAAAAGTTACGAACTTTATTCTGTAACTTTGATTTCAATAATTATGGATTTTTATGAAAACTTGAAATAATAAAAAAAACCCTATTTCCTATAGATAGTTGGAATGCAAAATCTTGACTTCTTGATCTGTCCAGTTCTGTACCTGGCGAGTGCTCCCTTCCTCGCCACCAGGCCAAGAACAGCCCTAGGCCAGGGTGAGAATTCCACTGACACCGAAGGTTTGCACCCCACCAAAGGGGTCCTGGGCCCTGCACAGCATCGAGAGGAGTCTGCTTTTTGTTCCCAAGGACCTTTTGAGGGTTTGGAGCCAGTTCTCTGCCCACCCCAAAGCCTGGGGGAGCGGGACTGCAATGATGTGCAGCAGCAGGACCTAGCAGGGCTGATGTGCCTATCCTCTGCATGCTGAGGAGGACACAAAGCCCCATCACGGAGCAGGCAGCAGCTCACCATGCCTGTGGCCTCTGGGCTGAGAGCCAGCAGGACTGGACTTTGCCTGGGCAGTGCTGAGGGTACCCGGAGATCCTGCTGCCTCGTAGGTGGGGAAGAGGACTTGCTGCCCATCATTGCCAGCAGTACCATGGTGTCACCTCTCTGAGGGAGCACAAGCTGGCTCTTTGTGCTATGGACAGCTGTCCCCGCAGGCAGGGATGCTGCATTTCCATCGGCATCTTTGCTGGCAGCACAAGCAGGCAGTGCCCTGCCTGCCCCTGCCTGCCTGGGTGCCCCTGGCCCCGGGTACCCTGCAGCTCCAGTGCTGCTCCCCAACTGCCTGTAATGACTATTAGGGGGATTAATTCTTTCCTGTGAGGGTGCTGAGGCGCTGGCACAGGGCGCCCAGAGAAGCTGTGGCTGCCCCATCCCTGGCAGTGTTCAAGGCCAGGTTGGACACAGGGGCTTGGAGCAACCTGCTCTAGTGGAAGGTGTCCCTGCCCGTGGCTGGGGTTGGAACTGGATGATCTTAAGTTCTTTTCCAACCCTATAGGGGTTCCAGGCTTGCAGGAGGCCTTGACTGGAAAACCCTAAAATTACATTTCTTTATAAACACATGCAGTGCACAGCCTGAGCCGAGCACAGGGCTGCAGCAGGGAGGTGCTGCAGGCTGCAACACGCTGGCTGCCCTGGCACTAGGCTCCAGCTTGCCCATCACCATAGTGTCTGGTCATCAGGCAGCAATCTCCCTTTACTGAGTTCTAGTACTTGGGATCAGGAGGTCTGGAAGGTTTGTATTGTCTTAAGGAGGAAAATGAGAGGAACAGGGGTTAAATTGGCTGGTGTGGGTGCCAGCCCCCCAAGACAGGCTGCCTACATCAATGAGAAAGCATCAGCATGTACAGCACATGAATTAGAAGGAGCAAGTCAGTAGGACAACCCCAGAGGGAGGGACTGAAATTAAGAGACAGCAATGGGCAAAGAGATGTCTCAAGCTTCTAAGACAGAGAAGCATCATCAGAGCAGCTCAAGCCTTCCCCTCTTGGTTGGTGCCAACTTGCCAGTCCTCAGAAGGTGCAGAGCCCGGTGAAGGTCAAAGCCAGCCTTCCCTGGAGCCTTTCCATGGGAGAGACAGGGCTGGCACCATGGCCTGGGGACCCCAGAACAGTCTCTGGCTGTGCTCAAGCACAAAACATCCCTGCAAGCAGTGGCAATAGGGGCACCAAAGGCTTTTATAAGGTCTTGTCACCACCAGGATCAGTGGCACCGCGTTGGCCAGCAGCTTCCTGGCCAGCCCAGCCCCAGCAGCATCTCCGAGGCGCATGAGCTGGATTTACATGCTTGATTTGTAAAGCACTTAAGGAGTCTTCAGGGATCAAAGTCACTACACAAGATGATAAAAAATACGCGACAGAAACCTGGAGCGCTGACAGGGAAAAGAATGGATTTGCTTTTCTTCCAGCAACGCGCCAATCTACAAGAACCAACCTGAAACATCTGTGCTTGTGGGGAGCGGGGATTTTTTTTGCTGGTTTCAGCTTTCTATTCATCTTCAAACAAAACATTTTGTGTTTCTCTCTCCGCAGCGGGTTTCAGGAGCTTTGATTTGTTAGTTTCTCATCTCTAACCCATCTTTCCTTTACAACTCCGAAACCAAAACAGGTTTTTTTTAAGAGCCTTTTTGCTTTTGTTTTGCTTTTTAAAAGAGCCAAAGCAAAAGTGCTTCTTTGCAGCTTCCCCTCCCACTGGTGTTTAACCAACATTCTCAGTGAGCTAAATACAAAACCACAAACAGCAACACACCAACCGCAGCCTGGGGCTGCAGGCAGGCATGCTGGGCTCCATCCGCACCCCAGACCCTGCTCCAGGGACCCCAAGCACCGGCCTGGAGCCGCAATCCCCTGGGAGAGGCTGGGATGCACTGAGGCGTCAGCCCTCCAAAGGGTTGTTGCCAGGACTGACAATAACTCAATCAGTTGTTGAGAGGTGGAGGGGGATCTCTGTGATGCAGTCTGAGAGAGCTTCTTAATTGACTCCAGTTATCCTTTCTTAATGCTGTAAATAAAAGAGCTAATTCAACACACGTAGATTTAAGAGAAGAAAATACTAATAACCGAGTCCAACAAGGTACTTGCAGCACACTGCAGTGTCCCAGCAATCAATGGGAGGAATCAAGTCTTTCACTGTTACAAAAAGAAGCTTTAAAAAAAGAAAAGGAGAGAGAAAATTATTCCCTTTCCTGTGTAACATCTCAGGCTGTACCAGCACAGGGTTCTTCCCAGCCCAGACCCTCATGTGCCCCCAGACCCCCCATCTCTACTGCTCAAAACCCTCCTGGGGGAAGCCCCACTGCCTGCCCCACACCCAAGCTGCAGCTCAGAGCCTCTCCTTAGCGAGCTTGCCCGATGCTCTGTGGCACTGCTGCTGCCACACAGTTTATTATCCACACCAATTCTTTAATCTTCAGTGCTTTGTGAACTGGATAATTTATTTCTTTTCAGTCACCATGTGGTTAAAGCAGATGGATGGAGCGGAAGAAAAGCATCTCGGAGTGGCCAGCATCTCAGCTCAGCCATTTTCATGGCTGGTAAAGATGGGGAGAATAAAACACAGCTAAAGAACAAACTCTCTTTCTTTCCTTTGTTGAAATGTACAGTGTGTTTCTATTGCAGTTTAATCAGGGGTGAGAAAGCAGGGGCATTGCTCTTCAGGTAACCACGGGCTGTGTTTCAGAGCCAGACAGCACTTCCCACTCTTTTGAATAAGGATAAATACAAAGCAGCAGTTACAAAGCAGCCTAAAAGAGGTAGCAAAAAAATCCAGGAAGAGGTGTGTTTAGGGCATGGAGGGGAAATCACACCTTACCTCCTCTGCTTCCAACACTGGGAGCCCTGTGGGGATGTCCATGACAGGCACCCTGTGCTGGGACGTGGCAGTGAGGAGGACGAGGGGTTATTCAGGGCTTCCAGCCCATCCCAGGCACTTCCCTCCCCACCAGGCTCCATATTTCCCCCTGGGACATGCCAGGGGCTGTCCCTGGCTCTTCCCTTCTGCTGCTGAGGCAGGAGCAGAGTTACGAGCATCCTGCAGCAGAGATTTTTGTACCCACCGGCTCCCTGATCCGCTCCATCAATCCCTGCGCCCGCTCAGCCTCTCTCCCCGGATCAGCAGCTCAAAAGGCTGGGGTTGATACCAACACCTTTACCCACACCAGAGGAGAGGGGCTCAGGGTGGCCCTGCACCCCACGGCACCCCACAGCCCCCCTGGCTCTCTGACCACAGCCACTGGCTGTGCTGCCCAGGCTTGCTGCCTTCCCCCATTTCCATCAGGCCTTATCGTGCTTCATTTTACTCTTCTCTCACTACCTGCCCTCCCCCTCTTATCTCTGCTTCAGAGTCAATTTTTTATTCTCTCCCTTTTTTTCCTCCTTATCACTCGTTCCCTTTTATTTGTTAAAATACTTTCTGCCTCTTGTGCTTCTCTGTCTCTCTCCTGCCATTCCTCTCTCTCAAGTGCTCTTCTCTCCCTGCCACATCTGTGTGTGCTCCTCGCGGTCCCCTCTCTGCACAGACATTTCTCCCTGCCCCCCTCCTCCACTGGCAGGGTCCCATCCTGCTTCCTCCACAGCGAGCACCACAGTGGTACAGAGGGGCAAGCGGAAAGAGCTTTGGGCTTTGCCTCCTTTCCCCCTCTCATTCCCTCTCTTCCCCACCCTCCTGCCCCACTCCCCATCTCTCTGACCCTGCCATGGGCACATGCAGCTCCTCCAGGAAAAAGGCAGAGCTATTGCTTTCCTCCCTGTTTTTCCTGGGTCTGTATCTGCATGCTTATGATAGATTTACTGTGATTCTATCGGTTTATGATTAAAACCCATAAATTTTACTAGGCCTTTTTCTTATTTTACATAATACACAGGATTCAAGGCAATCAAATTTTAACTGGGAAGCACGGGCTCTGCAGTTAGGTTCCAGTGTAATGGGGAACGGTTCATTTCCCAATCCACACCCATTACCGTTGGTACTGAAGAAATATTGCCCTGTGAAAGAGATTTTTCCTCAATTCCCTTTAAAACCACATCCTTACCTGAGCAAAGGACCAGAGGAACAATATAAACCTCGACTAACACACAGTGCCCCCTGCCACTGTGGTTTGTTCCCATCCTGAGGTTTCCAAACAGTTTTCCAGTAGAGCCAGGTGGGTGCTGAGGGTCTTGGGGTGACGGTTGTGGGTCCCTGGCAGCTGCTGCATCTCAGCTCCCCATCCCCAGGCAGCGGGTAGCTCCAGCCCCTCCGGAGATTTCATCATGTGCCTGTTACGATCCAGGTAATAAGACATTTCATTCAAATGAGCAAATTTATTCCAGTGGCACTTTAATAACAAAATCAATAAAACTACACTTCCCAGCAGGGCTTTATCATATGCTAAAACTACAGCATATTGCCTGGATATACTCAATTCTCTCCCTGAAATAAAGTGCAAAGTTTAGAAGACAGATGACACCATTTGCGGCGCTAGTAGGATAATGCCCTAATAAATCCACAGCCACCTGGGCACTTCAGAGTTGTCACACACTGCACTC